TATTTTTAAAAACATATGGTTCTCAAATAGTGCTAGCTATCTTCAAGGAATAAATAATCCTTTTTTAGCATACAAAATTCCCCCAAATATATTAAGACAAAGAAAGTCATTGTTTAGGCTTCTTAAATGAAAATGTTACGTACAAACAGACTTCCATAAGTCACTCTAATCATTAGAAAGTTACAATTTAGAACTAGAAGAAGCTCTTCAAATGTAAGTTCAAGTTTCTTGCCGCGTCACTTTAATTTCCAGCTGATATTATTATAAAATTAGTACATAATTCTTTCTGACATATCTTTAAAAAAAAAGCTTTGCTAAGCTACTAGAAATGAATGATTTTAGTTGTTAATAGTATAAAGTTCTATGTATTGTTTCGCAATTATTAGCATTACAGTAATTATTAATTTAAAAAGGATAAAAAGATCAACCAATTGATTAGATTTGAACTGTATAATTTTTTTGGAAACTTTTCTGATTCTTCTGAGAAATTCATTATATTTTCCCTATAATTATTAGGTTTGTAGGAATAATCAGATTAGATACTTTTAAAGTGATATGTTAGATGTTTGGATGTGATCGATTTGGCATGAGGAATTTAAATTAAAGATTGGGATTAATTAAGAGGAGAAGGCTTAACTTGGAGGGCAGCCACAAGAAGTGGGTCGTTTTCATGAGAAAGCCTTCACGCAACTGCAAATTAAAAGTGTGAATGAAGTTATTAATTAACAGAAAAACTTTGAGGAAAAAAAATCAATCAAGTTTAGGCATAGCTAAGTAGCTAATTAGAGTCCACAAAATTAATCACTTTTCATGTGAACGCATCGCAATTTTTTCTATTTTTGGACCATTTTCATGAATATTTTCATCATCAACAGTACTGGTCCTCTCCCCTATTGTACTCTTTACTTTTTCTGGTATCTACCTCTCAACTTAACCATATTCTTACTCATTCTCATACCTCACCTATTCCTTGTTTTAATTCTTCTTTTGAACCCATATCCGATCCTCACAGTGTTTATATATATATATATATATATATATAGATATATTACGTATAGAATTATGCATCACGCACATGCACGCACAGATTATATTAAAAAATAATAGTTATAATATCATGAGTCGAAAATAAATATTAATATATGATATTTAAGTTGAGCTATACATTGATAATTCGTAAAGAATGCAGCTTATCTCAATCTATCTATATAGTATATACAAAAATATGTGTTTAATTTTGCATGGAATAGATATATCATAGTAATACCTCTGATCTTAATTATAAGACCTCGTTTGTAGAGTTTTGTCCATTGATATTTGAGTAGTACTACCTCCTGTCCTAATTATAAGACATCGTTTGTATCAATGGACAAAACAACTCTTGCCATCACCCTATATAATCAGTGATCCCACCCTCTTTTTTTTCAAAAAGCAAAATAAGTGAGTTCGATCCTGGAAGCTCACGAGGATCAAGACATGCCTTCAAATTTAGAAAATGCTTGTAAAGTTATTTACAGGTTTTCTACGAATAAGATTCTCACATAGACAACAGGATTCAAACTCATAATTTTATGGGTTATGAGCCAACTCCTTAGCGATTGAAGCAACTCTTATTGGTATCATTGTCTTTATTTGCTAATCACAAATTATTATGATCACATCATCATGAATGAAGAAATATGTAGAAAATTATCTTTTAAAAAATAAAAATATGGTGTAAAATTCATTTTTTGTCGAAGCTTTTCCCGATTACTAATGAAGGATCATCTCTGCCAAAAATTTGTTAGTCATTCAAGTAACTGACTTTGGATGTCATTAGCATTTGTAGTTTTGGCATTGAAGGCGCGAGAATGGACAAGGTGCCCTTCCGTCCAAGTTATCAGTAACTAATTGCGAACTCACCTGTGGACCCCGCCTTAGTCTCCCCGCGTTTCTTCACACTTAAGCTAGTTATTTTCTTTGACAAAAAAAAAGCTAGTTATTTTCTTTCCTTTTCCTCCTTCAATTAATACGATCATCTTCTTTTTCTTTTTTTTTCCTGGCCGGAGAATACAATTACCTAATGTTGGAAACGGTTATAAATCAAAAAAGAAAAACCATCATCATCATCAAAATGATATTTTAAAGAAATTTTAAGAAAATATATTTTCCTGAAGAAAATCATGATATGTGTGAAATAATTTAGTGAAATACAACAATAATAAAAAAAAAATTTGTTGAAGCTTGTGGAGATGGAGGTGGTAGTGGCCTAGTTCTGTAGCTCACCATATGCTTTTTTTTTTTTTTTTGAGTAGACATCATATGCTTTATTTATTTTTTTGAGTAGACATCGGATGCTTTATTATTGTTTCAACGTTTGCAGCGGCCGGTGCTCATTAGAGTCGAGAAAGTCTAAAACAATGCTCCTCATTTTCATCTAGTCCGCAATATTTAATTTTTTAATTCTTTTTTATATACATTCACTCTCTCACAAGAAAAAAACAAACGGGAATATGCATGTGTTCATTAATCAAAGAATGATTTAACATATTTATACACATCTAATAATTACTTCTATTGAAATTTTTTAACGTTTAAATAATTATTTTTTAACCTCCATTATGTCAGTCTCACTTGATGTTACTATAGTCATCATGATAATAATTAGACAACCAACGATACATAGCACAGGTGGAAGGACAGATTTATTATCAATTAGCATCCCTTTAATCTGGCCAACTGGTTCTTTACAAGATACATTTTGCAGCAAAATTAAAAAAGTTGCAAATGAACAACCGATCATTATAACCTTTGATCAATGATTAGGGTTTATGGTGGAATTTTGAAGGTACATACATTATGGATATTGGAGTTGAGGCTAATTATAATTAAGGATTAAAATTAAAACATGAAAGGAAATTATATACTCCCTCCGTTCCTTATTATAAGAGGCATTTGATGTTTATGGTATGTTCCTATATATAAGAGACACTTACAAGTTGTCTCTACTTTTTTGTGTTGATTTACTATTTTACCCATATTTATTATCTCCAACTCACACTCTCTCTCCCTCCCACTTCTCTTTCTTTTAATAATTTAATTGTTCTCTCTCATACTCTCTCTCCTTATTAATGAGGGCATTTTTGAAAAAAAATTATACTTTTTACATATTAATTGTTCTTAACTAATTTTAACTGTTTTTTTAATCAACGTACTTCGGTTATTTGTCTCTTATAATAAGGGGTATGTTTTTAACTTTAGTAAATATAAATATTATATTGGGGGGGGGGGGAGCATGAGAGCCGGCCACGTTATTTATGTTGCAGTGGAATTAAAAATCGGACCCCAAATGTGATTACTTAATTGGAGGAGTATCAATGACAAGACGGAGACATGTAATAATGTGGCTCTTTAAACATGCTCAATTAAGGAGAGGGAGGGTTACACGTGGCAGCATGTGAACAAGTCTCCGACTTGGACCACGTAGGGGGTGGGGTCTTAAAGACACGCGCCTACAGAGATTCCGCGCCGCCATACAATTTCTCCGAGGCAGCAATTTGTTGTGTTGTGCGCCATTTCCATCACGTTCGTTCCGCCTTTGCCCTCTTGGCCCGGCCTCCCTTTCTCCAGTATGGAATCCCACCATCTCCTGCAATTACGCTATTGCCCCCCACCCGAACAATTATGGATCCATGGAAAGTTTTTAAAATTCCCCATTTTTTAAAAAAAAATAATTACCGTTGTACGGACAACATCATAGCGCCCCGCCTGAGGCAGTGGTGGAAAATGGAAACTAGGGATGATCCATGGAACCGCACAAAGGAGGCAACAAATTCCTAGTTTTATTAATATAAAAATAGTAACATGTGTATTATTCTTGTTCATGAATTATAGATAATTTAATTTATTTTTATGTATGTCATGTGCAACACAAATGAAATTAATTTTATATGTACATTTTGGTCACTTACATATATTTGTATGCCTTTGTTGGCCACCATTTGTACAATTATATGTTAACAAAAGTAAATAAAATTAATATTTATATATTTGAGTGTAAAATTCTCAACTGATTAAGCATCTAGAAACACTTGGGGATGTAAAGGAAGACTTGTAATGGCATGGTTCGTGTCACACGGACAATGTTTCAAAAGTGGGATTATTATCATATGGGCTCATATTTTAACCGTTTTAATTGGGACTTCAAAATGATTAAAAAAAAGAGGGTTGCGCGGCATCGCTGATACTCTTCTTTTTCATAATATCTCTCCTCCATTGTTCGTCCCAACAGGCCTCCTTACGGTACTTCCTGGCTTCCTACCTAGCTCTATATCCACTGCTTTTCTTTTTTTTTTAAACCAGCGCTCTATATCCACTGCCCATTGCTCTCACTTGGAAATTGGAATATTACAAAAATTATCAAAGAAATAAGTTTGATTGTCTTCATCCGATAATTATTATTCCTGTACGTCAAATCAGTAAGTGGCGGGGATAAAATTCTTTATTTAACGATATTAAAGAAAGTGGAAATTACAAATATCCCCACCCTCTCTAAAAATAAAAGAAATAGAAGAAGTACGACACCATTAATCGACGATTAATTAAACCTACAGGTGATGCTCCCGACCCTCATAATCCACAGCTAGTGCCTAATGGCTAACAGTATAGAGTGTAGACCCATCTTCGTCTCACAGCCGAAGCATATATATGTGTCCAATAACAGCAACATGAATTTTATCACCTTCCATCTCTCCGAAATTACAAAAGTAACCCTGTTCATCTTCTTCCCTCTCCCTGTACCCATCCACATGGCCGTTAAACTCTTTCAGCCATTTTTTTTTCCCGCATGAGTTAAAAAACCAAATAAATAAAAAATCCTTGCAGTTTGATCATAAATCTCAAATTGGGAATATTATTTTCAAAGATCTTGGAATTAATACCTTAAGTTGTACAGGAAAAAAAACCACACTCCAAAATCACAAGTTAACTATAATTGTTATTGTCCTACTTAAGAACATGTATTTCAGAATAATCGCGTAACAGTCTTTTTTTTTTTTCCATGGTAACTTTTGAAATTGTCTGCTAAAAGAATAAGGACAAGTCAGGACGAAGGAATATATGAGGCGTGAAGAGGATGAATAGTAAAGATTCACCGCCTTGGTTTACGGCAACGTAACGGCGAGTTAATCCGTTTTCACGTTTTACATATTGTCACTGAGCTGTTGCTGTAAAAACAGCATGTTTTCAACATTCCAGAAATTGTCCGACGTGTCCCCTCCACCGCTCTGAGCCCAATACTGGTGGTTGCTGTTGTTTGCCTCCACGGCTTGCATATCCAAGTTGGTGATGCCATCCGAGTAACTTAAATCCCCGGTTTGGCAGTAATCCGGATTAGGGTTACACTTATTACCGACCGGAACTCCACCGTAGTAATAGTCCGTCAAGTCCGAGATCGGCGACACCTGAGTCGACCCGAACGACTCTGACGAAGCCGCCGCGCTGCTGTTCTCTGTCGTGTAGTTACTTCCGGTGACCTGAGAGGCTCCCCCAAACTCGAAATTGTTGTAATTGTATGCGGCGTTGGGAGGAGTGGTGGTGGTGATGGTAGATACTGGCGGAGAAACGGAGACGGCGGCGGCGGCGGCGGAAGCTTGAATACGCTCGACGAGCCTGGGCATCCAGAGGAAACGCATGGTGTCCTTGAATTGCTTGCTGTTCACGTCACATTTGAGCTGCTTGGCGTGCTTTTGAACTCGTGTTCTCCAGTAGTTCTTGATCTCGTTGTCAGTCCTTCCCGGCAAATACTGGGCAATTTTGGACCATCTGATCATCAGAGAACAGGCTTCATCAGAAATGGATCCAGATCATTGAAACAAAAAAGAATCGGAAATAATGTGGTATTTTGAATAATTATATACTAGTATATGTCATCCATATTAAAACACAATCTCATGTATCTATAATTGATTCAGAGAGATACTAATCTGCGGATCACCTGTTTCCCCAGCGAGAATGAAGATCGAGAATCAGGAACTGTTCTTCGAGGGTGATGTTTCCACGTCGGACATCGGGCCGGAGATAGTTGAGCCACCTCAATCTGCAGCTCTTACCAGTTCGTTTGAGGCCTGCGAAGATCGTGAAGCAAAAGGAGATCGATCACTTTGTGATTTTCTCAGATTGGTAAAGTTAACAAAAAGAAAACAAGAACAAAACTATCAGTGAGGAAAAAAGAAAGAGCATTGTTCGCTTTCCGAAGCTTTTCTTCGTCCGAGGGAAAGTTATCCATGGTGACGATTTGCTGCCTTCGTTATATATATTTATGTGATTGAGAAATTGAAAAGATCACACATGAGATCCTCACTATCATTCTCATACTTGCTGATGTTAGAGAGAGAGAGAGAGAGAGACAGAGATAGTTAGGTACCGGCGGATCGAGCGAGGGAGTTCCAGCGACCTTCGCCGTGAGTGGCAATGTAATTGATGAGGGTGAGGTCTTCGTCGACGGTCCAAGGGCCTCTGCGGAGGTCCAATTCGTCGTCGTTTTGGAGCTTGCAGCTTCGTCCTCTGATTTCTGAAGCATCCATATCCATATCCATGAATCCGCCCTCACTGTTTGATTGGATTATTGGAGCTCCAATCCACCCCGCAAGGCAGCTTAATCTATTTTGTGCTTTTAGTTCGAGAGAGGAAGAAGAAGAGGAAGAGGAAGAGACGACGGGCAGATGGAGGGATGATAAACAGATTTGGATTGTTACACAAAGCACGGGGCCTTTTATAGATAGCGAGATATTGATTTCTGATTCGCGCCAATCACAATACTTCTATGAGAACATGGTGGAAAACCTTGTTTACAAATCTTATTAATAAGAATAACCTGAATTAAAATATCAGCAATTTTTGTGCATGAAATCAAATTAAAATTTTTCCCCAGCAATTAATAAAAGGGTTATTCTTAATTGAGTCTAATACTGCTTAAATTGAATATTTCTCCGACGCTTAATATAAAATTTAATTAACTAATTGAATAGATTAAAAATACTAGTTAAGTTACTTAATATAATATGTTTTTCTAAAACACTCTAAGGTTTTTCTTTTATTCCCTATCTCACTTCCCTATTTGATTATTATTGATGGAATACTAATGGGGTTAATTTAAAAAAAAATTGATAAACATATAAAATAGATCTTACATATAAGATCAACATCAACTCAGCAATTAGGTCATAATAAGAACTGAATGAGTATAATAAAAGAATAATGTATTATTCTATCAAATAATTTATTTTTTTTGCCAACATAAATAATTTATATTTGAAGTGAGGTGTGAAATTAGTTTAGATAATGATAAAATTGGGGTGGGTAGTTAAAACGTTAAGTCATAAATAAAAGGAATTATAAAATTATGGATCTAAATATTGAATAGTATTTATTTAAAAAAAGAAAAATAAAGAAGCCAGCCCCACTGCGAATAGTCAATGAGCTATAGATGGGCGAAAGAGTTTAGGACATTGAAATTAAAACATTTTACTTTTCAAACTTTAGAGTGTATTTCTTGGAAACAATTTAATATATTCGTAATTATAATTTTACTGCTAGTAAAAAAAAATATTGTTTCCGTTTTCTGTTGCCAAATACCATATTGAAATATTTAGTCCGAACTTTTAGTTCGAGTAAGATATTTTGGGCAATAATGATAATGAATAAATAAAATAAAATAAAATGGGTTAATGATTATGGCTGGAAAGAAGAAAGAGGGAGTACGAAATTTGACTTTTGGACTCTGCTTAGTTGTCAGGTTGGGTTGTGTGGGCGTGCCAGACAATGGATCTTATCGCTTCCTTTGCATCACGAAACCCGTTAAATTTCCTCGTAATATTCAACTATTTAAAAATAATAGTAGTAATAATAATTTATTATTTTCCCTGTTCATTTCATTAACTTGACAGAAATTTTGTCTATCTGCATAGCGGGAGTGCTAGAAAAATAGAATGCAACTTGTATCAACTGAAACGACCTTTTCTTTCTAGAAAAATAAAATAGTTGCCTTAACATTCTCATATTTACCAAGTTATCTAATCACACAGAAGTATATACATTTTTAAAAAAATATTATTATTAATTTAATAATGCTATTTTTAAACTTTAGTATAAAAATTAGATAATTAATTTGAGGATATCAAAAAAATTAATTAAATTAGTTATTTTTCACAAATATATGTTGATCTTCTAAATTATACTCTTTAATTATATGTATTGGATAATTAAAACTATTATCCTAATAGCTTACCTTTGTAATTGTTATTGTCAATGAGAATATTTCGACAAAAAATGAGGATAAGATTGAATGAGGTCCTCTAGTTAAAACTAAATTCAACTCTCAACTAGTTGTTATATTAACGAATAAAATTAGTAATATTATAAAAAGAGGACATATGTATGTGCGTAATTGAATAATTTGACATAATGGACATAAAAAATTTGACTTAAATATTTTCCTTCTTTTTTTTTTTTATTTAGAATTCACAGCTAGCCTAGTCAAACTTGGGAAATTAAATCTAATTTACATCAAGATAACATTATTTTCATATTTATTTATTCCGCAAGATTTCAAAACTTGAATGCAATTTTTATGGCTCGTTTTTAAATCTCCCACTAAGTATATCGAATTTTAAATATATTACTGATATGTGCCTCCATTTGGGAAAAAGAAAAGTAGTCATTTTTTTTAGGCATTTAATTAATAACACATGACTCAAAACAGAATATTAAACTTGTTGCAGATAAAGCTAAGGATTAAGTTTCTAAGTTTTAATGGAGGCTCTATAACCCAACTGATACAAAACACATTTCTTGAATTTTATTTTCAAATGTGAGGCTGTGAATTCGTATTTTCAGTAAATAATATAATAACAGAGTAAATAATAATAAAAGAATTGTAAATTTTATTATTTGAATTTATAATTAATTCACGGATTGCTTGTTAAGTCACTTAAATATTATTACTTTGTTAATTATACATCACCCACAAGGCTTTGGGCGCAGCCATTAGCATTAATGGACTGGCTTTATAAAAAGACAAAAAATTGACCCAATAAAAAGCGTTGATTTCGTTTTACTTTATATATCTATCTTCACTTTAATTAAATGGAATAAAATGAGGAACGTTATTTGGGGTGATTTGTTTTGCATCAGTACATTGAAAGGAGCTGAAATGAGAGAACGAAGAATAATGGCGTCTTAAGAGACAACTTGTGAGAATTAATTAAGAGAGAATGATTCGCCCATGTGATTCACATGGAATGTGAGATTCTAGTATATTATTTCTCTACATTTAACCAAAGGCACTTGTGGACCACAAATAAATAAACACACTTGAGTTTCTACCTCTGCCCCTAAAACAAATTAATCAACTTTGTCGGGTGCTTAGCGAATTTTACGTTAAAAAAGTTGGAATTTTTTATGTAAAAATTAAAAAAATGAAATTAATAATTGATTATCTCTGCTCTGCGTCTTTTATTAATTAAGGTGAACAAAAAGGAACAAGATTATGGCTTCCAGTAAAATATTTTTGTTACAGAGCATAATCCCTCTTTCTCTTAAAGAAAGGTTGATTTCATGAATTTATGGGCTTAGGTTATAGATAGAGACAAAAGAATCTAATCAATTAGAAGTTGGGCGTTAGATTTCGTTTTTAACCTCAAGTCATTGTTAATTTTTCTTTTCTAAATTTAATTGAATATAGATGAAAAATGCCTTTTTTTTTTTAAACAAATTGATAGGCCGAAAGAGAAGGCATCTCCAATCCTATTTTTCTTTTCATTGAAAATATCAGGAAATTCAAAAAAACCAAATTATAAAATTATTGTGTGCATGCCTTAGAAATCCTTTAAAAAATTTGCGAATTAATTATCCTAATATATAAATATAGAATCTGAATATATAACCCCCAAACGCACGCGCACAAAAAACCACCTTATGATTGATATATTCTACACACACAAGATTATATATCCCTATGATTCTCCCAGTTTCTCAACAAAAGGAACAAAATTATTAATTAATAAAATAAATTTTAAAAAAATTCGGATAAAGATAGCAAAGCCAAGGTGTATTAGACACAGACACAGATACACACACATGTATAATATAATGGGTGGAATCTAACACTTTGGGTAGGCAAATAAGCTCTTTTTCATTAAGTATCAGTACTTAATTAATTGCTATAATAAAATATGCTCACTAATAATTTTGTGCATATCTACGTTTGATTATGTTGGATACATCTGTGATATATTGATACCCACACACACGTATAGATAAAAGGAATGTTTCGTCACGTGACACCGACCAAAAAAGCAAAAAAGACAAAGAAATTAAAATGAAAGAAAGTGAAACTTTTAAGTGCTGTCTCTCTTATTTAGCATCCCACACATAAGCACGTAAGATATAATGCAACCATAATAAATTTATTTTTTCCCCATTTAATAACACTCACAAAAAAGTTAATTTAATAGGTTTGATTCCTTCTTGTCTTCTTGGTACTTATCTTAAATCTGAAAATGTATCCAATAATTAATATCTCATTTATTAATTAGTAAGATGTGATGTCGACGAGAATTTTTAGTATGATGAGCAATGATCGGCGGGCCACATTTATGAAGGAATATAAAAGAGATGTGCTATTTATTTGTTTCTCAAGAAGTGTTTTTTTTTAATTCTTTTGCATAATTATGCAGTGTGTACGTGGTCAGGGAAAAAGTCCAATTATTTTAAGTTTGGAGGACGGTGCGTGATGCTACACTTGGATGAGTGTATATATATCAAATTAAATGATTGATAAATAAGCTTGCATCTTGCAAAGTAAATGATGTTATTAAAGTGCATTGCCACAATTTAAATTAATGAAGAGAAATCAATTATTATGAGCCCTCTTTGTAAATCCATGCTTTCCATGTGGTATAATATAGATATAACATATGAAACGCCCATATCATGCTTAGCCAATCAAAATTAAGAATTATTATGTAGTTCATTCCTGGGCATAGAAAAATTATACTACCTCTTGTTCTTAATATAAGATTTAGTTAACTAATTTAAAAAAAAATTAAAAATGTTAGTTTTGAGTTAGTTATTTATTGCGAATAGATGTTGTATTCCCTAAATTACCTTTAATAATTATGTATGTCTGAATTACCCATTGATAGTAACTCCTTAATATATACAACTATTATGGGGATTACTTAAGAGCAAAATAAATAAATATTAAAGACAAAATATATTAAGATCTTGTATTTGTGACCAAATTTAATGTCATACTAGTTTTTATATTAATGGCCGAAGATAGCGTCACTATTTTTAATTCTAAATATAGGACTTAGGTAAAAAAATGTTTTATTAATCCTAAATAAATTTCTATTAAAGAGGTGTTTTAAAAGAATGAACACACTTTTTTTTATAAATAATTAACTTAACTAATTTTATTAATCTTTGTAAATTATTTACTTGGTTTTTACAATTAATTTAGGCATTTAAGAGATTCCAAAGCAGCTTCAATTCATTTAACCTGTATAGCTTTATTTTGTGTGTGTATGTTGTGGATGGGTTCTCTGATGTTTTATGGAAAAATAATTATATAGCCATGTTATAATTGAGCTTGAAGAATGATATTTTTTCCTCCAGTAATATTAAGAGTACATTAAAAGTATATGTATTAACAATCTCATCACTCACAA